TGCTGTCTCTGCACTGCTGGACCTGGGTACAGTCGCCTTTTTCAGCTGCAAGCCTCAGTGCTACGTAGGGTCAAGTACATAGAAATTACACCCATTTTTAATTCCAGTCCTCACATTTTCATTTCCATGCAATGAAACCATCTCTGCAGACTCTGAAGTGGATCAGCAGCATACTCTAATAGATAAGTTAGGTCCAACCATAGAGAAGGTAGTCAAAGACAAATCACTGACTTACATATATTTCACAATTTCCACCTCAGCTCATGCTAATGATCATGGATCATTAATCCCTTACTGATAGCCCTCATCATTTTGGTTTTTTTTTAATTCCTTAAAACTGAAGTAATTTCATAATAATGAATTTTAATATTTGAAGGTTGAAAATCTCCTTTGTTTTATGATGTTTTAACATTTCAGATATATACATACTCATATTGAGAAAAAAGGTATTTTCAGCTGTTTTCCCTCTATGACAGGTAGGGAGTATCCTCCTGAAGAATTAAAAAAGATTGGAAGGGAGATACAGATTGTGAGAAGAACATGCTCTTAAAAAGTGGAAAGACAAATTCTTCTGAAAGCTCTCAAAGCCCTGCAACAACTACTCAAGTCTGCAGGACTCGAGCACCATTTTATGAATGGGACTATGGGCCAATGCTTTGTCCTAAAAATTGCAAGCAAATAACAAGCATCCTTTAGCTAGACGCTTTCACATTTGCAATGCGGGAAGAGTTTCGTGGTAACTTCTACCCTTTGATGGTGGTTGTGGCACTAGATCCTTCTCTTTCAACAAGGCAGGGCCAGCAGCAGGAGCTTTACCTCGTGCTGTGCGGCTCATCTCCTGCCATCATCAAGGAAAGTGTAGTGGAAGATACAAGAGACCTTGGCACCAACTGCAGCATCCTTTTGTGCAGCACCCCATGAAGATATGCAGATACCAAGGTGAAACTGAATTAGGAATTCACATCCCTTTACTCTCAGCAGAAGAGTTAACTTTCAGAGATTTGAGGGGGACAGGGTGTTTGCAAATTCAAACAGGTGCTACTGCATCAGTTATACACAGGTCATAGTCTAAAGCTTCTCAAATATGACAATCAGAAACTTCAATTTACAAATACAAAAATCTTCATGTCACCAAGAAATTTTAACTGTCAACCTAGAATGCTACAGCTAGTAATTGTTTCCTAATTGTCCTGTTTTAAATGAATGTGGCAGATCAGGTTCTATTAGAAGGCAAAAAAAAGTGGAGCATTTTTCTAGTGAGCTTGTTCATACAGCTTTTAAAATCTTTGCTAAATTTGGCGACAACATGATGCACAATACAAACAGCTGATGTGCAGATTCTGAGTCTTTTTAACAGTCTTCATTAACACAGCCTCACTAACAGCTGTTTTATAAAGCAGTATCTAGGAGTATAGTATGATGTTCCTGCCTGCCTTTGTGTAGATAACTCTAGACATTGCTGTGTTTTTGAGTGTTAAGCTCTTGGTGCTGCAGTATATCCCTACATCGTATTGTCAGAAGCAGTCCATCCCTTAGTTTTCCTTTATTTGGCAACACTTTCCAGACTTTCTACCACTAACTGCTCATTATAGGTCACCATTAGTCCCGTATAGTCACATTATGAGAAAAGCTGTGTTAATTTTTATGAAATAAAAGAACTCAGAATCACAGTTACCATGACAACACTACACTAGACAATGAAGTTTCTTTGAGGATTTTGATTCTTGTGAGTATTCTGTACTCTCAAGAAGTATGATAGTAACCTCCTCAAGCAGATGCTTCCCTTCAAGTTAAGACAGTCAGCACGTGAAGTCTCTTACACACACAAGCACACTTCCAAACACAGCTATGCAAGTCTCAGGGGGACTCCGTCCATGTTAATCCACCTCCACACAACGTAAAACAGCAAAGCTGAAAATTCCAGAGTCCAGGTAAGGAATCTGTTCTGCCTTCTCCATTCAGCCTGAGCCTTATGCACATCTCAGTCTTAATCCTGAGTCATCCACCAAAACAATTCATACCATGTTACCTAATCCGTGACTAAAGCCCTGGTAGGAACTAGACCTTTCTCACCTTCTCGTCTTGAGCAGCGATGATACGATGGGAGCTGAGAAACGAGCAGCGATCTCTGGGACTGATGCTGAAGAACCTCCCGTGCTCAATGGCTGCAGGACCTAGGTTATACAAATATTCCCAGCATGAGATTAACGTGTTAGCACATAGAAGGAGACTTCACCTTCTATCATGAATTTCAGAACATCATACGTGCTTTCCTTGAGCTACTGGTTGGTAACAATGATCAGTTTAAATGGTTGTTGAATCTGAGCTTGACAATGAAAGATCACTGGTAACTCTCTGTATACAAACAATTAGACAAGTATTTGGAATGAAATGTATATTAATATATTACTTGAACTTCACTTTACCTTGTCAATTTTTGTGCAGCTGCATTAGGAAGCAAACTGCTCGTTTCTAAAACAAGCAAGACTTACTCCTGTAGTACAGCAGGCAAATTATAAAGCTTTGAGTTTTTAATACAATCCCCAAAATTAGTGTTTTTCTGTCATTTTAGATTTTAATTTGGTTTAAATTTAAAATAGAGGCATATATTTCCCTATAACAGAAGGCTGGCAAATATTTGATGTTGGAGTTCCTTGTCAAACTAACACAGTTTTTATAGGTTAGGTCCTGAAGGAAAAAAATCATCCGTGCATAAAGGAATGCACCGCTTAAAGCTTTAGGTAGAGCTTTAATAATCCATACAGCTTAGTGCAATCCATTAGTTTGAGTTAATTTTAACTAAGGTGATTAGTAACTCAGTAATGAATTAGGAAGAAAAAAAAAGTATTCTTTACAGTTTCTTAGGGCAAAGGAAATGAAATTGAATAAGGTGAAACTTAAAATACTGAAAACTCTGATTTCATTTCCAAACTGGATTTCAGTACAACTTATTAATTGTACACCCTTCCACCGTGCTTCCCAGCTCAGACCGGTACTGCAGCATCTTCCAGATTTGTCACCTCTCCACCAGTGAGGAAATTACTCTAACAATACTTTGCTTTTTAGCATTACACTCTTGCTGCTGCAGTAATATATGCCTAGATCACAGTGCCAGGAGCAATTCCTACCTTAGTTCTGCTTGCTTTGGCACAGCTATAGCAGCTTTGTCCAGGGTTTTCACCACCTCTAACTGCTGATTACAGATCAGCGCTACTTTCATATACCAAGATACTAGAAACACTCTGTTAAAATGAAATTGATGAAAGAAATGCACTTGGAAAGGCATCAGCATAACTGCCACTGTACAGTACCAAACAATGAAGTTTCTTTTTGGCTTTTAATTAGCAAGAGCATGCTTCCCGTAAGGGGTTAGCAAATGCTTTAGAAGGCCCATGTAAAAACCTGGAATTAAATAAAAATAGGGGGAAATAAGCATATGAAGGCTTCTGGAACTGAAACTGAGTGATTATGCAAGTTAAATTTAGAAAAAAATGCTTATTTAAAGAACAAGTATTACTTAAGGTCTGTGTAAGGCTATGTATGTAACCCTTCTTTGGAGAAGGAAGAAGGAACAGTTAAAATTAATTCTGAGTTAATCATTATGAATGAGGCCACTTTCCTGGTTTTGATTTAAACAGGTGAGATAGGATTTTGCTTAGTTTTTTCTGTCTCCAGCCTCTCAACACACAAATCAGCTACTCAGCTACAGCAGCTCAGCTGCAATTGCAGTCCTGGATTTTGGGTCACTTCCCTGATGTAGGAAGGACACTTTTGACTTGTCATGTCGGGTTCACCTACATGCTAGGTCAGTTTCACTGCACCCTTTTAAATCCTACTTTCTAATATAACCCTAACACGATCATTGGATTTGATCTTCGACTGATAGATCTTACTTGAAATAATCTAGCCCGTCTCCCTTTTGTTAGATTTATAATACTCTACAGTTTTAGTTACATTTATAATAGTTGATTTCTATGCTCCAGTAAAATATTTGTTTTCATATACAGCAGTTCACTTACTGGAGGTGGGAACTAAGGTCTCGTTTCACTCTCCACTGTTAAACTTGTGGTCCCCAGGAGAGCAGCGTTACCAGTAGCCAAGGCTACAGGCTCTCACCATTTATGACTTGTTAATTCACCCCGGCTTTCTCCACAGCTGCAGTACTTTGGCGCTTAACGGGGGCTATGGGGGCCGGGGAGCGGGACCCTCAGAGGACCCCCCGTGGGCCTTCACTCCCCTCAGGGGCGCGGCGGCTGCGGCCCCCGAGGCGGCTGAGCCCGCCGCAGCACGGACAACCGCCAGAGAAACCCGCGCCTGTCGTCGTCGCCGCCGCCGCACAGGGCAGCGGGGAGAACTGAGGCGACAACAACGCCGCCACCCCGCCGTCAGGCACTGAAGGGCGAGAGGGCGGGGCGAGGCCGCGGAACGGGCCCGCTGGGAAGCGTGGCCTCCGTCCGTTTCCGTGCCCGTCCCACCCGAAACTACAGCTCCCAGCATGCCCTGCGCGGTTCCCATGGCGACGGGGCGCCTAGGCCCGGGCCCCGAGGAGCAGCGATGCCCAAGGCCAGGTAACAGGGAGTCCGGCCCGAGCTCCGTGAGGGGGACTCGGCAGCCTCCCCGCTCGACTCTGCTGCCGTGTGGGGAAGGCGCCGGCGGCCGGGAAGGACAGCTGGAGGGAGGGAGGAAGATGTAAAAGGGGCCATTTCGTCCCGAAAGCGATGGGGGCACCCCTGGCCCTCGGTGCCAGAAGCCGGTGGGACCCTGTAGAAAAGGGGGAGGCTGCAGGTGACCCTGGGGGAGCCGGAGGAGGGGGACCCCCCGTCTCCCCGAGCAGTAACTCCCCCGGGACGCCGGGGGCAGATCCTGAGCCTTCCCGGGCCCACTGAGCCCGGACCGCCCTCTCCGGCGCCAGCCCCCGGGAGCTCTCGGCTCCGGGGAGCGCCGGGCAGGGGGCTGGGGAAAGCTTCCTTTAAATGCGGCCCAAGTGTACTCTAAACCAAGCTCTGCCGCCACACAGCTGTGCCACAAACGCCTGTAGGGGTCACCTGAGGAATTTCACTTAACCTGGTTTTGTTAAGAAAAAGTTACTTCGACAAGCAGAGGGGATGCGATGTGAAGTAATAACAGCAATAATACAATAAACCGTAATAGCCTTCATTTATCCATTTACATACTTTCAGGAATTAACGGTCTAGGGTCCATTGTTTTTTTCTAATTGACACTCTTGCTTTGTTTTTTCCAACTAGTGATACTCTATGGGATCTTGCTATAGCTGAAGTGGAGAAGAGAGAAAACCCTGACGACGATGGCAAGCGTGTGGAAGTTTGGGAAAAATCACTATTATTTATGGGAAACAAAAATGGGGTAATGCTAAATACTGCATGATTCTGTGCTTGCTTTGAACATAGCTCATATCTCGGTAAATGTCTGATAAGCGTGTGGCTCATTTAATTCTTCTAAAGACAAAATATATTATGTTCTGATTCTGCAGAGTCAGCATTCCACAGAGCGTGGATCAGTTAGACATTACTACAATTCAGAAGTTCAAATTTATGGCTTGGAGAGCCAAAACTTCAACCATTGTTATCAATGATGTGCTAATTCTTTAAAGTTTGGCTTCACTAATTTTTGCAAAAGTAACTGTCAGAAATAATGCTACCCTCTTTAATTCTTTGGCATGTCAAATTTCCCCTTGTGAAGGTTTAACTGGTAACAATCCAATTGAAGTGCACTGATTGATACCAGTTTTGTTGTAAATAGAGGCCTTGGCATCCTGCTGTGAATTGTGTCTGTCTCAGACAGATTTGAACATGGGTTATCAGTCTTTGCAAGCTCATGATTCTACATGTCTGAGGTTGTTTTACCTCATTGTCCCATAAGGTGGGTCATTAGTACTTTCATATTTTTATTCTGTTAGCATCTATTTCCAAAGCAAATAAGGAGATATTTGCCTTATTGACCAAGTGAGTAACATTTTTAAGAACACAATTTTATTTTAGAAAGATTGGTATATGTACGAACTCTGGTTGGCAATTTTAAAAATACTTTTTCCAGAGAAAATACATTGACATTTTCCTGATTTCAGATTTACCTGAAATTCACTGATTTTTGAGAGAGGAAAGGATAAAGGAGCAAACTGTAGAAGTGCCAGCTCTTGCAGTGGGCACGGTACTCAGTGTCTGAACTTAAACAGTGTAAAGACATATTTTTCTCTATGTTTATTTGTATTTTAAGCATTCATTTTATTCCCATCTCATCAGTAATGATTTAATTCCAGTGGAAACCCAACATTAAATAAAAGTAGTATTAATAATTAAAAAGCAGTTTAACAGAGTTGGCCAGGCTGATCACTAATGTCTAATTTTAAGCACACTATTCCTACTACTGTATTTGTCATCTCTATTAGTTTATAATTAAAATAATGGTAGTGTGACTTGATTCTGACAGAAAGTTGGCAGTTAAGTTTCCACTATAAGGCTACAAACTATTACATGAGTTTACATTTTTCCGGTCCTTTATTATTTGAATGTTAAATGAGTGAGTTTTGTTTAGTGATACAAGTTCTATGCTTTAGTGACATTACAGTAAGGTTTTTGTTTGTTTTTAATTTCCAGGGAAAGACCACTATTATACTGAGGTGTCTTGAGAGGTATGTGTTGCATTTTTAAAAGTAGTTTTCAACTGTGGATTAGAATTTTACATAAATAATTATATTGTGTGATAATTCATAATATATGTATACAGATGGTGTCTTCTGTGACCAGTTGATTGCTTATGGATAAACTTATTTCCCTTCATTACTACCTGTCATCTGACCCCTTCAGTCCTTGTTCTCCAGTACTGGAGAGCTTCAATGGCCACCTGTTCAGATTGGTGCTGCTCCTTCTCCTGTCTTTACATCTGAGACCTGTTGTCTTACAGTGTCCTCTCTGTGCCACCATTTCTAAGCCAAATTCTGAACTGACTGATAAATATAATTTAGTAACAGTAGCATTGACTGACTTTATTTAGAGGATCTTGACAAATGAAGTTACTTTTCCTTACATAGGGAGGAGATTCCAAAGCCAACATTAGCCTTGGAATATACGTTTGGAAGAAGGGCAAGGAGACACAATACAGTGAGTATCCAGAATGCATAGTTTATACATTATACAGTATATTTTATATATTTATATATAGTTTATATATTATACAGTATATACACACACATATAAAAATAATAGGTGTTTTATTTTTATGTATATGAACCTTAGAGTTTTTTAGCTTATTGTTTGTGAAACATAAAGGGGATTTTAAGCATCAGTTCCTTAAAATTAGTGAACGTAATTTTGTATTTTAATCTGTAATATGTTTTTCCCTCTCACTGAAACACCATAGATAAGAGACCAAAGCGTAACACAAAGCAATCAGAGTCATTTCTAAAACTTACCTCGTTAGTCGTGTTTGAGGAGTGTATAGGATGCATGCTTTTAACTTTGTCTTTAAAATGCAAACTGAGGACAAACCAATGGAGATTCTTTACAACCAGTTTTATGAGAGAAGTAGTCATCTTAGAGGATGTTGTCATAATTAAATTTTTGGGTTATGTGTCTATATTGCTAAATTTTGCCCTGCAGATTTTGTTAACAGAAATATTGACCCCAATCCCCTCACAGCACAACGCTGCCCAGTGGCAATAACCATAGCTGCAGGTGATGGCTGTTTCTGTTACTGAAGCAGTGGGAAATCTGACTCTGTCTGAAAGATGAAAATCACCTAAAACTTTTCCCAGAAACTAAATGCAAAAATAGAGATTCATTATTTTTCCAAACTTCTCAAAAAGTATTAGTGTTGAGCTGCAATAAACAAAAAGGAAGGGAAGAGAACCTGTTTTTTTAATGTGTATCATTAATCATGCTGCTTCCTGACTTTCTTACTTTACTGTAGTCATTTTTCAGACAGCATGCTAGAGCCTTTCCTAACCATTGTATGGGATTTCTTGAACGCGGGGGGCATTTTTCTTTGGTTTTGTTTTTTTAGAAAATACTAATGAAATAATATATACTCTTGTTCTTTTCACTCTGTCACTTTCATGAAAAGCCAGACGAAGGTCTTTCTTGGTGTTGCACAGAGACACACATTTCTAACATACATAAACTCTTTTACAGCCTAAAGATATAGCTCATTTTTGGGAACTCGGTGGTGGAACCTCGTTACTGGAACTGATTCGAATACCAATCACTAGCAACAACATTAGGTATGTGATTAATATTACAATTCCAAAGTTGATTTCAGCATTTCTTCACACAAGTAAATTTCTAGACCTTTTATTGTGGGAAATTCTTTCAATATGTATGATACAACATTTATGAATTGTTCTAAAAATCATGGTAATACTACTGATACTCTGCTTTGACCTTCCTTTTCATGGGTCTGTCCTAATAAGCCAAGTACTCAGCAATCTCCAACAACAAGAGAAAGCAGTAACATGGAGGAAATGGGTTGGTTTTAAGTAGCTAGAACTAGAAATACAGAAAAGACCAGTGAAAGAGCAGAAAAGGCAACTTGGGGGGCACAGGAAAAGTGAAATTTGGCTTCCTACTTAGGTATGCAAACACTGATATTATCTCTGTAAGGGGCAGTATTTTAAGGTGAAAAGGCAAAAAATGTGAAAAAAGAATCTCTGGATTTTGGGAAGTGAAGTGACTGTCTGATGAGAAGACGACCACACAAAAGAGATGATGTTTCTGAGAGGGACTAAAACTACTGAAATGATCTGAAGACAAAAGGAAACAGGAGTTTAGGGAGAGAATTAAGAGAATGTAGTGATGAAATAGCATAGGAAGAAAAAATGCATGAAGAAATGAGAAGGTGTGTGGGGGGGTGCGTTTCATGTTTTTTTTTCTGGTTAGGGAAGATGGAGTTGAAAGTGGAAGGGAAAAAAAAAGGATCAAATGCATTGCTTTATTTCTGTGGTAGTGGGTTTAACTTCTGTGGAAAAAAAAACCACAAACAAACAAGAAAACCCCAAGAGATACAATTTTTATCATGTACATTTGCTACTGTTTTGGCTATCGAGATAATGCCATTATTTAGTGAGACACTAAGAAGGAAAAAAAACCTACTTCTGGCATGTGAGGTTTTCTGTTTCTAGAAGAATTTGGGGGAAAATCAACTATCATTTTTCAACTATTGCCTAAATGAACTGAATTGAGCTCCACCTCCATCGGTCTTTTCTTCCCTTTTTACTGATAAGGAATCTTCTGATGTGGATGATTTTAAGAATCTTTGATGGATTAGCAACATTGTTCTCTAAGACCACTTGTGTTCATAAGGCAGTATTTTAACACACTACTCAAAAATTCTACCATTTCAAGCTAAATATAAGTGTTTTTCACTGTTTTTCTCACCTGTCTGTAGTCAAGCAATCTGCATATTTAAAAGTTCCATGAACTGTATCTAGATTCACTGAGAGGCTTTTTACCAGGTCTGTTTTTTTCCCCACAGCAGTTTTTTGAAGTGAAATTGGACATTAACTTTACTCTCTAGTCTCTCTAATACCACTCTGCTCTGGAGTCCCCTTTTTCAAGTCAAGAAGGAATGTGAAAGAATGATTGCATCCATTCAAAGAGCTGCATTTGCATTGTTCTTTACAGTTGCACTTTAAGGCAGTTGGAAGATTGGGAGGAGTTGAGTTTAGATGTAAACATTTCTCATCATAATCCGCCTGGTAATTGCTAAGTAGGTCTTAGAGTACTCTGACTTCTGTTCATCTTTCAGAAGACTTTCTCATGCTCATTTGAGGTTCCAGCTCATTAGCACAGTCCATGGCACAGAATATTGCTCTTAACGAGTTTTTTCTATTTCATATTAAAAAGAATAATGAAAGTATAGAACTTTCTAATACATTAATGGTTAGGAAAGATTCTAATCATTGGCTAACATTTCTTCACATGGGATTGTAGAGTCAGGAGATGGCAGGGATATGTGATAGTAGAAGTACCCAGTCATACAGGAAAAATGGGCTTGTGATACTTGCATATTTTACTGCTTTGAAACAAAGTTTGATATGTACAATCCCCCAAAACCTGTGATGGAAGGCTGCCAAAGTAGTAGTTCTGAAGAAGAAACAATGGAAGGATTTCTTCAGAGCTCAGAGTATCCTTAAAAGAGCCATCTCCCTTTGTTGGCACATTTAATTCTATCTTAGCATTTGTATTTTCACATTTGTTGCGTTCACCATTTATACTACAGGTGTGGCTGTCTATGAAAATGTTAATTGTCTCATGTGCTGAGTATTTGACCAAAGACTGCCCTTCTAATAGGTCATTTGCTGTAGTTCTTGTATTGGATTTGTCCAAACCCAATGAACTCTGGACTACTATGGAGAAGCTTCTGCAAGTTACCAGGAACCACGTGAACAAAATTTTAACCAAACTAGAAAAGACAAATCCTGAAGTAGCTGCTGAAATGAAACAGAGGATGCGGAGCAATCTGCAGAGGGATCATCCGGTAAGTTACTTCTAATATTTTCTCCAGATGTCACAGGCCTTTATACAGTTAAAGATAATGCTTTTGAAAATCTTAAACAACTCTTTTAGATTTTTATGCATGACTGAAAATCCATTTGATGTAGATGAACCTGTTCACTGGAAAATTATAGCAATTTAATAAAAATTCAATAAGAGCAGAAACAAGGAAAGAAGGTTTCTTATATCTTTTTGTTAGATATCTAATGTGATTGTTATGGCATGTTACACCAATCAAAAGAAATAGTTTTAGAGGAGCAGTTTGCTTTTTTCCCCCCCTCATCTTTTTAAAATGAAGATGAAAACTAGAATGTACAAAAGTCATCTAGCAAGAGACTAGCTGAAGGTACAAATTTAAGCAAAGAATATAGTTATAACAGCCATCAACATGACTATATACTTTGCATTTATTTAAATGTCTATCACAAACTCAATGCCTTTTGATAATCTGACAACTAATTAAATTATAAAGTTTCAGAAATGTTAACATCAGTCCTTTAAACATAATTGCTAACTAAATCTCTCGAAAAGCTAAACTAGATAATGCGCAATAGAAATGAAAAGTCATTGTGCATTAAACCTCTGCAAATGTTGTGTGTATATAATACATAAATAAGTATTCAACAATTCAAAGACTTGGCACATAAATCTAGTTACTGAAACTTCTGTAAAATGCTGTAATGCAGCAAATGCTTAGATAGCTCAAAAATTGAAAAGTAACTTTTAAAATTTTTGGGAAAGCAACGTGTGCACCACCCAGTAGATTTAGAGCATAGGGCTTGAGATTTACTGGGTTATGATTTTGGTTTTTAATTTTAGAGAAGGTAATTCACAAAAAGAAAATGCCTACACACTTAGCAACAAATCATGACCGCAGTGTCAAGTTTGCGTGTAGGGGATTACATATCAGAAAAGTGCAACCTTTTTTTTTGATAAGTAAAAAGAATAATGCCATTAATTGTTAAGAAGAGTTATTATATTTGCCCTGTAGGGAACACAATTATACCTTCTAAACTACAATTTCTATATAGCCTTCATTTGCAAGCAAAATGTTATGTTACTCCTCAGTTCTCTTTAAACTTTCACCATTGTTCAAGAAAAAATTATGTCAATCTTGTGGGAGGAAATGCTATTTTTTATAGTCAAAGGAAATCACAGTTTACGCAGCTTTTTATTTGCCTTTTTATAGCTAAGTGTGTTTTTATGATAAACAGGAATTGATGAGGTTCTTAGTGGTTTTTTTTTAAGGATTAGATAAATTCCATTGGCCTGGATAAAGGATTTTTGGCTATAATGATAAAGCCTATCAGTTACAGACCTTGATGCGCTTACAGTAGTCCATAGTCAAGAGAGGAATAGGGTTCAGTATGCCAGTTTAAATGTTTCTGATGTTATCCTAAATTAATTTTTTCTTAGTTAAGGACCTAAACTTAATAGTTTTTTCAGTTCTGTATTCTATACATCCACTTTTAAGTTATGATATTTTTGCTCAAAGCTTTTGCCTTGACTATGTATGAGTGAAGCCATTATTTTTCCTCTCAAAGTAGAAGACTTTCATTACTTCTTCCTGTCTGTCTGTCTGTCTGTCAGTTAACCTGCATGTGAAATAACTGGTTTTAGAAAGGAACAGCTAAGTCAGCCTCTGCTAAAACACGTCTCTTTCCCACTCTGCTGCAGCCAAAGCAGTTTGACTCAATAATTGCGTGAACACGAGTGGATTGTCTCATTTCATATGGACTACAGGAAAGGCTTCCAGATAACTTCTGATAAAAGTTTTAAGAAGTAGATAACAATAATTCTCAAGTTGACTATTTAATTGTTAAATCTACATCCCCATAGCTGTTTTAATCCATTGGTACTGATTTGCGTTTTCATGGGCAATAGGTGTCATTTCCTCTTGTTGCTGATACCAAACCTTTGAAGATCACATTATATATTTTTTAAGAGTTTGGAAAATGTGATGTGAGAAGAACAAATGGGTGACACAAGCAAATCATCCGGCCTAATTTTCTTGAGCTTTTTTTCTGCAATCCTTTGGCTATGATGCAAGGAGGGGAAATGTGTCAAAGAGCCAGTTCTACTAATCCAAGCTGGCAGTTGTTCTGCGAATATATGGGGTTTTTCCTCTCCTCCCTTCCCATCTGATGTTGGAGCTGGAGTATATAGTGTAAGAACCCTTTTATGCCAGTAAGTGTTCTGACTGCTCAGAGGGATTACTTCCTGACCATTTCTGAAGAAAATGAGAAAATTGTAGAATATGGTATGGATATTGCATTAAAGTCTACTCATCTAACACAAGGGTTTGAAAAAATAGACCTTGTCTTCTATGAATTAATTTTAACTCCTTTTAGTTGTTTTAAGAGTTGCGATCTTCCACAGTTTGTTTACACTGCTTAACTGTCCTATATCTGTTTAATAGGATTATGATTTAGTTGACCCTTTTCCAATACCCTTGGTGATAATTGGAAGCAAATATGATATTTTTCATGTAAGTAATACTTTTTTTTTTTTTTTTTTAAATAATTAAAAGATTCCTGTAAAAGTTTCATCTGTTTAATAGGATTATGATTTAGTTGACCCTTTTCCAATACCCTTGGTGATAATTGGAAGCAAATATGATATTTTTCATGTAAGTAATATTTTTTTTTTTTTTTTTTTAAATAATTAAAAGATTCCTGGTAAAGTTTCTATATACTAAAATCTTGGCAATATAATAATAAACATTAGAACGGAAGTATGGCCCGTCAGGCTTCTGCAAAAACTTTCTATCCAACAGCACTATGAAAGGCTTACAGTCATTCCTTCACAAAATACTTCCAAACTGATGATTTGTGAGATGTACTTAGAAAATGTTGAGATGCAAGCTGCTGCAAACCAGAGAGCACAAAATCATCGTGTTGATGACTTCCTTTTATAATGAGAGAATTCCAGCTCCATGTGTCCCTTCTGACCCAGCTGTAAGTGTATGGCAGGGGAAGAGGGGCATCGCTTAGGTCAGTTGGTCAAATTTTTTGGTAGTTATGGCAGCACAAACAGTGAACTGTCATTTCATTCTGGAGCTTTTTTTTTTTAAGTACTACATAAGTTTTGAGAGAAAAGTGAGTAATTGCATCTTTAATGGGGGAGAGGAAAGTAATGTCACAGTATTGCTGGATTCTCTCCCAGGATGTGAAAAATCCAAACAAATGCATACACAATTTTCAAGCAGCACTTGATCATGAAAAACTAGAACAGTATGTTTGATTTTTAGCTGCCATGCTGGCAGCCCGTGCTTCTCTGGATGACTACATAGTGCATTGATACTTGGCTGACTCTTTGAGTTACTGAATCCTTTATTAATAAGGTACTGTGCCTTCTTTCATACTGAGGCTTTATGCTGAGCCATGACTTCTTTAAAAATTAGTGACTCTGATGTAATAAGCACAAAATAACAGCCTAGGTTCCATTGGAGTCTCTGGATAGACTCCTGCAGGCTTCACTGGGACCAGATTTTCACGCATTTTATCCAGGGAAGGCCATTTGTATGATCCTATATTAAAGAAACATTGATGAAAAGGTATTTTTATGCACCTTTCACATCTTGCAGGAGTTAGGATTTAAAGAGCATATGCCCAATGGTTTACTGAAAGTCACATATTTTCAGAAAAAGAAAAAATCCTTATTCTTCTAATTGGCAATATTTCTGCTTCTAAATATTTAAAACAAAATGAAACCAGTTAATTGAAAATTGAATACATATTCCCAATTAAGAAACTTCTTCTGGACTAACACGTTGCCTGAATTAGGCTCCCTCTGTAAAAAAGAAACAAAGGGAAATTGTGACATTTCTTTTCAGAGTAGGCTGTTACTGATTCTGTCTCAAGATATAATTATGCTGACAGCTGAAAGCCTCATATACTGTTGCCTAAGTGCATTGCCGTTTATACAAAAAATGAAAAGTTCTAGCTGTAATATTTTGCTTTTTGTTTCTTATGTATATGTTCCAATATCAACTTTTTCAGGAGTTTGACTCAGAAATGAGGAAAATAATAAGCAAGACACTTCGATTTGTTTCACATTATTACGGAGCATCATTAGTGGTGTGTATATTCACTTTCTAGCTAACAATAGAGAAGATGAGCAATATTTGTGTTACAAAACAGTATTTTAAAAAATTGAAATGTAAATCTCCTAGAGAAAATGGGACTTAATTGGTTTTACGGTAGCTTTCTTCGTGAGCTAATCTGTCAAATGGGTTACAGGTATTTGCAGGGGATGGATGGATATACCTTGTGAACAAACAAAATACATCATTCCCAGTATTAGCAGAAACTAAATAAAACCAGTTCTCTGTCAGCCAGCTCAGTCCCTGCTTTGAGTTTACTGCACGTCTGGCAAGATATTTTTTTTTTGGTACGAGAAAGGAGGACAAGAAAAAGTGATGGCCCTAGACAGAATTAGAGAGCTGGCCTTTTTGGTAGAGGTATGAACTTAGGTCTAGGGACCTGGCTTTGGTAGATTTAAAAACTGAGAACGGGCTCATCTTCACAGCAATTTAAGCGTACCAGATTACCACACTTACAGCACTGAAGAATAAAGGCAGGGATTTTTTTTCAGTAGTTAGTAGGAACTGCCAAGTGTGAGGACAATGAAGTATTTATGTAGTTTTGAGTTTGGCAGGTCATCTCAAGTAAAGGCAGAAACATGCAGCCTAAGGTTTCACAATCCAAAAAAGCTGCCTCCTGGGCTCTCTCTACAACAGAAGGTGGTTCTAATTGTATCAACCATCGTTTAAGTAATAAATGATATTTAATAGTGACTTATTTTGATTACCAAACAACTTATGTTTGCTTTAAATTGTTATAATCACAGCATGTCCTTTTGCATCCATGTAAAATCATACAGCTTTTGTACTTTGACACGTGAATTAATCTTTTGTTAACTGAGAATACAACTGTCTGGATTTAAATTTTTTTTTTAAAAGTATATAAGCATTATTATTACTAAAAATAAAGAACTAGGAGCCTAGAACTCTTTGCTGCTAAATCCTCGTTCCCATTGTAATGAGTGGGAGAAACTTCATTTCCCACCGTAGGGATCTGACTTCTTTCTCAAAGCCATGAATCGTTAGGATACAAAATCCCTTAGACAGGAATGAGGATGCTGTTTGAGAAGATATTCTGGGAGCTGCTTCCTGATAAATCTGTACTAGCTCTGCCACTATCAAGCTGCTTTTGTGATGTGTGAACCATTTTAGTTATTCATTACATTTCTAAATGTTTATGGTATTCTGGATAATTTTATAAAATCTTAATAACTCATGAGTCCTGGGCAAAAAAATCGTGTCTCTTAATGGACATACTTCAAAAGTTGTGATATTTTAAAATTTATTCTTTAACCTTTATTTATGCTGTTTTTCATTTAATCTTTCTTGATCTATATATTCAGTGACAAATACATTCATGTTTTGGAAAGGGAGGGTAAGATTTTTATTCTAGTAAATTCAGTGAATGTATAGCAAATTTACTGGGGTCAGGAATTAGCCAGTCTCTAGCTGAAATCCTCTATGTAGATGTCATAATGTAATATTTCTATGATGGAAGATCATAATGCATATTTTGTTTTCTGATTCATTTAGTTTACCAGTAAATCTGAGGCTCTCCTGCTGAAAGCCCGTACTCTTATTAATCACCTGGCATTTGGCTATGATAAAAGGTAACGTAATTATTGTCCAACTATTAGATGTCTAAATTTAGAGTCTAAAAGTACTTAATAAAAATATTTTAATCACCAAAACATCTTTTTTTTCTTAAATATGATCTCTGAAAGATTCTTGTTTGTGGAATTTTACTCCTGTGTCTCAGCTGCCTGTCTCTGCACAGGACAGTTTTTGATCCCAAAACTGATGGATTAGAAACATGGTCACCACTAGAATTGAGTCGTTTTTTATTTACTTGTATTTGTATGCAAAGCCCAGGAAGAGTCCAGTCTTGACTAGAATAATGTCTCTTTTGTTGATTGCTAAATGCTCATGATATATATTTGTTTGTTTGTTTGTTTGTTTAGCAAGTCTGTATCAGTGGATCACAGCAAACCTCTATTTATACCAGCAGGCCTGGATTCACTGAGCCAAATAGGTTTGGACATTTCCTCTTCTTTGCATTTGTTGCTTATTTGTTTTTCAAAAAGAAAAAAAAAATTAAGCAAATAAAAAATGAAGTTAACTTGTCACACGTCAGCATCAGTTTTAACAGATATTGAATGAAATGGTTTAGAAAGTTTAAAATTACAATTCAGGATTTTATTATTGAGAATTACTTGTGCAGTTTTGTTGGATAGTTTAATCAAGCATCTGGACTTCTTCAAATAGAGAAGTACCAACAAGCTTAGATCTAAGAAAATGTAATATAGAATACCACTTAGCTCATTTCATGGTAGGAGATCATTGCCTTTTCAGACTTGTTGCAGCTTGTCACTGCAGAAGAGAAAGTATTAAATTAGATGGATCATTATCTAAAATGATTTGATAATTCATGTTGTTGTGATAACATACTTATATTGCTTTGTGCTGTGCTGTAATCCGTAGGACCCCCACCTGCCTCTGACAGCGACATTGGAAAGATGCGGGCAAGCACACCGCTGGAACTGTGGAAAAAAGTGTTTGAGAAGGTGTTTCCTCCCGAGGTAGGTATTTACATGTCTGCTGCATAGCTGCTTTTCTCGTAGAATAATAGTAATTTCACTACTAATTTTTGTCTTTCAAGTCCAGTGACTGGAATTTCAGTCTCACTCAGCAGTCCTGTTTCTTCCAGCCTCTTTAATTCTTACATTTTCAAAAAGTACAGATCTGTATGTAGTGGTGATTTTTTAAATTTCCTTCTGCATGTTCAGTCACCTTCCTACACTTAGTAGTAATGAAACTACTGTGTAACCCTCTGGTTTTTCCAGAGTTACGCTGTTGCCTTTCATTATATTGAGAGACACGTTATACTCAACCTTTTTGGAATTTTATAGGGTGATGTATCCCCTAATGCCTAAACCAAATGCCAGTGATGCTCCAAGAGGAGCTCTGTGTGGCTGCAGCAAGTGGTGATCCTTGTTCTCTTAGGGCATGAGGCTTTGAATGAGGCGAGTGTGTTAGGAGTTCCTTGCCAAAATCTGTCATTTTGCTAAGGAAAGCATTTGGATTTGCAAGGTAATTAGAATCCCTTGGTACATATGTAGTGATAAATCTTGTACGTATTTTAGAAGTTTCTGGTCCCAAGAGTCAAACCCCTGAATACTTCTTTTTAATAAAAGTAATTGCTGTTCTTAGGAAATCAAAATTCTTTTCTATTTGAGGTGAGCAAAACCAGGCTGCTGCTTTCTCAGTACTGGACTCTATCATGGTTCTTTATCCCTGTCCATTTCTTGCTCTACAGCTTACCTGGGCAGGCAAGGAAGGCAGGCAAGGCTGTGAAACTGGGCCTCAAATTATGGTGCACAAACCTGGATTTGTGTAGTTTTCAGTCTGTGGATCTCCATTCTTGGTGAGGAGGAGTCTGAATTCACTCTTTCCCACTCACTTGACCGATAACATATCAAAGCCTACAAACTATTTCAGGTGGTTTGTGACCAGAATAAATAATCACTAAGATGCTAGTCCCAGTACAGTATGCCCCAACGTGATAAAGACTAAACTTTACTTTTCAGACACTGTACAGGACTATTATTTTTAACATTATTTTTCCTCATGGCCTTTTAAAACACAATAAACAAACATTCCCTCCTCCACTCCCCACCCAATGATTCCTGAACTCCCCCTGGAGAAATGGAAGATGTTTCTCATCTTGCAAGCTCCATCACTGTTCTGAGGTATCAGTCTAATTAAAGAAGATTTGCCAAGTAGATTCCCAGTCTTCTGTTTTACTTATAGTTCCCTCAAGGTTAGTCAATGAAATTTCAGGTATTTGGCAAAAAGATATTCTGGTAATTTGAACTCATTTCTAGTCTTGAGTATGAAATGCTTGAGCAAGAGTAACCTTAACTGTGCCCAAATGTCATGGGCCGGAAATGATATTTTAATTTTGAGGAGAGAATAATAAACTACCTAATAAGACTGTTTTCTTCCCTTTAAGATCTAACTACACTTTTACTTTCCCATCATTTTACCAATCTAAGATATTTATTTTTTTTAATCTGTGTCCTATAGCACAAACTTCTTCCATAAATCCAGTATTTTAATATATTTCTATTAAAAGCAAATACTTCCATTAGATCTACAGCATGGCATTTTCTTGTTAAAAGAATAGATCAGCTTCATCATTTGGGGTTTTGTCATTTCTTCTTCTAGAGTTTCTATGATTTACAAGATACTAAGGACCCTGCCCAGGATTTACAGTACGCTGAGTATGAAGTTGATGTCATGAGAGCTCAGAAAAACCAGGTGTGTTGTTGTTCCGCAATGTTTGTTCACAGTCAGATAGTTCAGTGTTGCTGAATTAATTGTAGAATATACCGAGAGTCCTCTTTTTACCTTTAAATAACTTCAGCTTTGGTTTTCAGCTTACTAGTTGGTTGGGGTGGGGTTTTTTCTAGTGGGAGACATCAAGCTGGTAGAGCGTTGTTTGATCTCAAAGTTTTGGCTCTGTAGTTTCTTTAGAAATGAATAATTTTCCTTCTAGCTCTCTTCCAGGATGATTTCACTAAAATAATACCTAAGCAAAGCTGTGGAGCTTTCTTGGCAGTAATTTCTTCATTTCTGTACCCTGTACTCTCATTTGGGTGTTGATTAGCAGAAAGTCTAGGAAGCAGTGTCAAGGTTTGGGGTGGGGGCTGTTTACTTCTTTTTATTTCTGTCTTCCTCCTTCAAAAATTTGTATTTGAACTGGAAAGGTACCAAAATGATAACATTTCTGACTCGAGTTTGCAGGCTGTGTACATTTTATCTTAAACAGAGTGAACAGAATCATTCCATGTAGTGATATTTAGGTTAACCCCTGAATTCCAGGAAAGACCTTTGGTGGGGTCTTTCGTATTTTTTTCGTATTAATTTCAAGTGATTTAGTTGTGAATTAATTTTAGGGAAGAATTCTGTGGAAAACTAGATGAGGGTTAGAACATTGCTTTATAGATACCAGCGTGTAACATCATGAGTAGAAATACTGTATAGCGTCTTCATCAATATCATAGGCATGAGTCTGTTAAAATCCATCCAAGATTTGTGTATTTTTCTTTGTTTGGAAGAAGCATCATGTGCTTCTTCTGGAAACTCTCTATTTCATATAGATTCATTTGTTTCACACACGGAAATTCTTTGCTTGAAAGACTGAGAAATGTTGCAGTCTATTCTCACAGCTTAGATGGGGGCTGTTTGTGCACCGTTTAACTTGTGGACCAAGTTACTGCCCTTAAAGGAGGTTTTTCTAACTGCTTTAAGATGCTGGATTGTACCAATCCCGTGCTTTTACAGCCCCCCCACTCTGAAGATGAAAGGCCGTTTTATTGAATCGCACTGCAGTTCATCTCAACTAACCCTAAAAAACTATGGCAAATCTCATCTTTTTGGTGCTTGTAAAAGAAAGCCAAAGGATTAGATGATTACTGCTATCACGTTTTTGTAGAGTTTAGTTAGATTGCATAAGGCAGTAAACCTGTAGTTACCTGATCCAAAGAAACACATTAATAATGTAAAAGAATAAAGCAATTTCAAGAATTCAGTGCAGTCTTTGAACTTGCACGTTACCTGTAATATCCCATTAATGTAGGCATCAGTTCTGAATTTCGGTTACATCAAGAACAGTCTTAGAAATCATTAAAATTTGTAAAGCACATTGCTTTTGGAATTTATAATGTAATCTTAGTATACCTATATATCTCAAAATAACTAGATGGTGTACTAGGCTTGCTATTTTTAGATAATACTTATGTCTTGCAAAAGAAGATACTGGTATGGATTGATTAAATCATACAGGAAATTATTAATTTTCTGCTTTTAAACAAAAGAGACAGGCTTTTAGAATCTTAATCTGTTGAAGGGCATTGCAAACCAGTGTAGCTTCTTTTTGTTGGACTGCTACAAGTAATTTGAGCATTAAAGAGAAAATTACTTTTGTTATCTGCAGCTATTTCCTAAACTTCTCTATCTTGAAGTTCAATTATTACAAGATTATTTGCACATTATTAAAATGTTTTATACTCCAAGAATTTCTTTCAATTTGAAATGCACCAAGATAGCAATATACATCTAAAAGAAAAGAACTTAGTAGTTGCAGTGATTTTTGAATTGTGTTTGGATTTCCCAGTTAGACGGAAAGTGGCACAAAAATCCTATTTTAAATGCATCATAAGCCTGACATTCGTTATATGGTCTCATGATATCTATTGTATAGGAGGAACAGTATATTGAGACGTTTAATATGCAACATGTTGCTAATGAAATCATGCAACATAATGAAAGTTTTGTATGATGACAGTGTATATTTTAATATCATTTAAGTACACGTTATCATTTTTCTCGGTTACTTTCGGTTAATTAGTGTGCCACTTTGGACCCTAGGTGATAACCAGTTCGCTTGTTTGTCTCAAAGATAAGGTTTAAAGGAAAAATAAACACAAAAAACATAGCAACAGAAACAAAATATAGCCCCTTTCAGTGAGTCTGATAGAAGAACCAGCACACCTGGCTGACAGAGTCTTAGACTGCTTAATAATATTGTCATAGATTTATAGATATTTGTAGATAACTGTGGCAATATGAAGTTTAATTAAATCAATTCCAACTTTGCAACCTTGGTTGAAGGGTTTGTCTGCAGCTAGGGTTGTACATTCTAGCAGACTAAAAGGTTAAATTATCAAGTTTAAAATTAGAAAACAGGTTTTTTTTAAAAAAAGTACAGAAATAAGAAAGTACCTGGCTCCCTCTCATGTACTAGCTGTCAGCTTGGATTTATCTGATGTGCTTTTTTGGCTACAGAATTGGAAAGAGTCCAGCTCAGCAACACCCTGTCACAAGTGGGTTTTCTTTCAGACCAGATTGCTTTGTTTCCTTAATATTTTCAGAGTGAACTATGAGACCTGCCCACTCTATTCCTAGACCTTTTTGCTCTGGAAAACTGAGGCCATCTGTTCCTCGCTGAGCCTTTGTGTGTCTGGGGGTAAGAACTAGGAAAAGAATTCTGAAAGGACATAGTTGAGAAAGACAGATGTGCTCTTATCTTGAACAATGTGCAGGTTTATATCAAATAGTGCTGCTGCAATTGTTTCCTGCTTTTTCATTCTCTGGAGTTAAGCTCTTGAGAGAGAGAATACAGCACTTGGGATTTCTTGGAATTCACATTTTTAATGTATTTCTTGACTAGCAGGTTCTCGCTGAGAATGACTGGAATGTTGTGCTCTTTGCAGGGCTTTCAAGAGAAAAACATGTATTTATATATTGATTACACATTTAAATGTGTACATATGTTACAAATGTTCATACAGCATACATAAAACATAAACGAGATGGCAAACTTGTCATCCATTTCTCTCCATTCTCTGCTGGCTCTTTGGCTTTGAGGTCACCCTAATTTTACTTTATGTACCCACATAACTTGAGTGAGAGTGAGATCTTCTAAATAATATTGTTGATTAGAGCATATCTACCACCTGCATCTGTGAGCACCGAGGATTGCATGGAAGTCTTGTTCCTTAGTTCCATCTAAATGGAGCCTCCCAGCTGGTACTTCAGAAGTCAGTGTCACACAGTGCCAAAGGTCATGCTGACCTGTCCTCGTTACACAAAGATATTACTTTAGGGATTGCCGGTTTTAGCTGAAGCTTAATGCTAGAAAGTATGCTCAAAAACCAAAATGGGTAGATGCCTGATGCTGTTGGGTGTCAGCAGACAAGAAGTCACAAAAGCAGTTCTCAGCTGGGCTGTAACTGTTAAGACTTTAACAAGTCTTAATCAGAAGAAGGGGAGGTTCTGTAACATCTTGCAAGGAAGCATAGTTCTGTTTCCTCTAAAATAGGACTGAACTAATTAACCACACTGTTCACAACTAAAAAAGTCAACTTGATGTCAGCTCTGCAGCTGGGACTGTGCTGGCCAACAGAACGAGAGCCCTATTTTTTTCCAACATACTTCTCTGACATGACCATATCACAGAACTTCAGGAGACAACTTCAGTCTTATTCAACAAACCAGAAGCTTGTATGTTGTGTGATGAACCTGCTTGGTCAGACCAGTGTTACTGGGCAGACGAGTGACAGACACCTTACATGGGTAAAAGAGCAGCACCACCTTTTGTTTTCTCTAGAGGAGAAGTGCTAGTTTTCATATTGTGGGGAAAAAAATATTTAGGATGTTTACTCAGCTGCCAAGAATAAGATTTCTCATTTTCACATGAAAGCATGTGCAAATGGGTACAAAAGATTTTTTTAAAACCAACTGAAAGAGCATTATTAGAGCACTGTTATTAAATTTCCTACTGAAGTTTGGTGCTTAAGATTTTTAATCCTTATTTCAGTACTTGGTTATTTTCACCATGGTCCAGATTGAGGGCACTTTAAGGCAGAAACTGCATGAAAAAGAAAATGTCAGTCCCTCAGAACTGAGGAAATGCAACAATTAAGGCTTTTCCTACAATCTTAATTTTTCCTCCTTGTTTGTAGGCATTATAGTATTGTCTTTAATTACATGATCATATACTATTTTGCTGATGTCTCAATTCAATTGTTCAGTATTTCTTTTCATCATCCTTATTCTTTGTGTACCTTATTTCTCAACCTGCCATTCAGACACTTCAATGAACACAAAAGTATTAATTTTTTTTCCCTGAGAACGTGCAGTAATGTTATCTTATCTGAGTGCCTCGCAAACATCAGTTAAGTCTTTCTTCCCCATCCCTTTATGAGATTAGGTGTGATCTTCTCCATTTGACAGATGAAGAATTTATAGAAACACAGAAGTACAGAAGCATTAAGGTTGAAAAAAAAATTTTGAAAATCCACTTTCTGCCAGTGTTGAGACACAGGACAAGCTGCGAGCACTAATAAATTTTAAAGCACTCAGAGCAAATTGAAAGCATGCATGCAACTCTTAATTCTTTGTAAATCTGATCTGTGGCCCCTGCACTTGGTACCCAGAAAACAAAGGAAGCATTATGCAATATTTTGGCTTACTTGGAGATATATTCTTTCATAGGATCTCCTTGTGGTTTGGAGACAGGATCTCTCAGCCGATTGTGTAGTTACACAGTATATTCCACAATTCTGCTTCTTGTTGCAGTATAGGACTGTATGAGCAGGAACGTGCCCTTTTTTCAGAAGAGTCTCTGGAGTGATCTTTAAGCTGTATTTGAAACATTTTGCCACTACAGTTTACTTTCTGTTTTACATGAAAACTACAGCAGTGTACTTTCCTGACAGCATTTCTCCTTTGGAATCACTGAATTTGTTAAAGATTATTTTTGTCCATATTCTCCCATTCAATCCCTGGTATTTTTCTTTCATTTCTTATTGTTTAAATATTAGTCTAACCCAGATATGTCTCCAAAATAAATACTTATAATTTTGTTTTGTACTTCTACATGTAGCAGAATAGCTATACTGTTTTAATATATGCTGTGGTTTTCATACCTTGTATTTCTGTATTTTTTTGAATTGCCTTTACACTGAATTGCTTTCTATCTAACTAAACTTACAGCAAAATAAATCCTGCTAAATTATTTAACTCTTTTTTGAAACAGTTAAGTCAGATGATAAATCTGTAAGGCTAATTATTTAGGCAACACCTGTAGACATGACCCCCAGGCAGCATTGTCTTTATACATAAAACTTCATTGTCTAATTTTATCCCTTCCTGTAACCTTTAAGAAAGTTGTTAGAATTGAAATTATTTACTTAGCATAAATCAGGTTTCACATGCTTCTGAAAATATCACAGTATTCTTTCTATTCCTAACTATTGGCATTTTTCCAACAGTTCAGTATGTTCCAAGATCATAATTACTTTATATTAATAATGAGGGAGTGAAAATACTGAGTAAAGACTGGCTTAGAGATAGAACAGTTCAGTAGTACTACAGTTGTATTTAATAATGCAACTTACAGATTTAGACTAAACACAGTGTATGTTCCCTGTCAATCATGGTTTACTTAACTGTAAAACTAGACTCCTGCAAGCAACATGGAGAATATGCACTAAGTAAAAATCCTCTTACTGCTCAGAAATCAGTGGTGCTTTCTAAAAATTTTGCACTGCTGACAAAGCCACTGAAGTGATGTTCCTGAGAGAGAAAATTCCACTTATTATTTCCATACAAGTTTTAGATGATGATTTCTTTGTTGCTCTGCCCTTTATTTTCTTCCTCCTCTCTGTGCTCTGGATTGATAATTAATACTTCTGTTAAATTCACCAGGTGTGAATTTTGTTATTTTTCTCTGTTTTGGTATCTCTTTGAATGAAACCTCTCTTACTCAGTTAAGTCCATTCTATTAAAATCACAATAGCAATCATGTAAAACACATGCCCACTTTTGAGAGTTTTTGCTTCATTTATACTAATCACTGGTTTATGTCCACCACTTTTCCTGATCTAAGTAAGATAAGATGACTTTTTTTTTTCCTATTGCAGGCAGTACATGGTCAGGTCTAACAGTACCTCATCAGAGTATCATCTTCCTGCAAATATGTTGGAAGCCTTTTTATTCTTAAATGAACAAAAAGCAATTGTAGTGCTTTCTAAATTTATTTTTGCTAAAAAAAAATAATCTTCAGAAATAGTTCCCAACGTGCACCACTACATAAAATTCAGAAGATTAAACTATTGTTTGATAATGTCACTAGAACCTTTTATTACAGGCTTCAAAATTCCCAGTAGCACTTTTAACTGAAACGAGGTCATTTGTGTACGGTGGTAGTACTCAGCTGATGTCAAGTATAGCATAATGCAGATTGCCTCCTCTTTCATACCTAATTCACTCCATTTATACCTCCACAATTTGAGCCTCTGTTTGCTTTTAATAATTTAATTGCTATCTAGAAGGTGCATATTTTTAATTACTACATTGGGTTTGCATTTTATTTTTACACACAGGTGCTAGCTTTTCAAGCCACTGAACAGTAGCACCTGAAAGAATACTCTTAATTACTAATTGAAAAATAAAACAAAAGTACCAGCATGGCGTCATTGGCATCAGTAATACACTTCCTGAACAACCTCAAGCACTGATGAATAATATTTCTACAAATATGCAGTACCATAGAGTGAATAGCCATGGCATGTCAGTTTCCTGAACACTCCTTGCATTCCCCTAACATGTATTTGTGCTTACTGCTTTCTGGACAAGCCTGTGTTCTGCAGGGGCTTCTAAGCTCCTTGGTCAGCTCTTCTAAGTTATCACCACTGGCGATGGATAAGCTTATGGAAGTTCATTTCAGTCCTCTGCTAAAAAAAAAAAAAAAAAGTAAGGAAGTAGGCTTTGTTCTACTAGTTTCTTTTTTGTGATCTTAAGGAATTACCAATCCATTTTGCATCATGAAATGTGTGTGAAACCTGACTTCATGTGTGTGAAACAGTAGCTTCTGTTGGGTAATTCTGATTCCTGTTTCTAAAGCACAGGTAGCGTAACAGTTCTGTGTGTTCATACACCACCCTAAATTTTTTCTGCCCTAAAAAGCAAGTATCTAGGCCTAAATACATAAACTCTAGCTCCCTATGTGAGAGCAAATGTGGCAAAATTTATAGTACTTTTAGTATAATTTTGTTAAAAACCATAGCACATTTTTTCTACAGTGAATAATGTTTTGTACATGCTTTAAATATTTAGGTGGCTAATTTATATATCTTATCACTTTTAATAACAAGATTAGATTAATATGTATGTATGTTTCTCTTGTAGGAACTTGAACAATACAAAAGAAATGCCTCTAAAACCTGGAAAGAAATGGATTTTGACTCTGATTGATGAACCCCTATAGGTGTACTCAGTTTAACATTTACAAAATTATTTGATCATTTTATACTAGCAATTTAATCTGATGCACTTGAAAAGATATACTATCAAACTACAAAATTAATATTCATCAAGCATTATTTTTTGTTATTTTTTTGTTATTATTTTTAATTAAAATGTGTTTATTCATTCAGTCCAAATTTAAGTATATCTTGCTACTGACACAGAGTTTTAAAAACTGGGGAGAAAGGAGTTGTAGATTATTCAGAGATGGGGCTGACTATGAAGATAGACAGAGATGGAACTGGCATTAGTCAGTTCTACCTATTTTATAAGTTATAACACATTATTTCATTTACCTTAGAATGCTTCCATCCTAAACATGTATTTAGCTATAAACAAATTTTCGTGCCCAAAATATGAAACTGTGTAGTAAATTATGCTAGGCATCTTTTCCTAGTTCCTTGCATATATAATTCAAAAGCAAAGCTTAAGAATATGTTCGCATCATTGTTTGATGTATTTTAATGGGATGGTTCCACAAAAACTGTCAGAATAAAGTGGAATTAAAAGCAGGTTTGACCTGGTCTAAAATTCAGATGTTTTCTTTATCCCTGTTTCAGCATCGTACAGTTTAATACAGGAGTTATTTCTTGCAATGTATAAATGTTGTAATAACTTTGCAGAGAATTCAGAAGAGGACATTTCTGTCAAATGCTCAAATGCCAGGAAGTCAGTCCAGTCAATCCGACAGATACTTGGTGGTGGAAGCATCATTGATTCAGCTGCAGCCTAAGCTGGTGAAATGCCAGCCTAAACTAGATTTGGCTTGTTGTCCATGTACATCCTCACTATTGTGTTTTAAGAATATGTATGACAAGATTTAGATTAAACCCAGAGGTGTCTCTGGAGAGCTAAGGCTTGTGAGAGAATCAATGTCTGAACAGTCACTTGGTAGACCAGAGCGTAAGAATGTTCCCTGACAAACAACCCTACGCACACAAGAAGTTGGAAAGACCAACTAATGTGGTATCTTTCCAGCTCTTTGAAGTTATGTTATTTTTTAACATATTTGTTCATCAAATGTTTTTCTGATATAACATTTTTTTTCTTAGAATATTATGCATAAAGATATTAGAAAAACTCAGCATCACACTTAAGAGGAGAACTTGCATTAATTCGAGGATTTCAAATTATTTGTTACAAAGAGCATCACCTCAAAGCTATCAAATTAATTATGGAATTTTCAGATACAAGTTTACCTGCCTCCTTGAAGAAATCTCTAGCTATCCCTCTGTAATAAATAATTTCTTCACTGAACATGCAAAGTAAGTTACAGAATTTAGGAATTCTGTGTCTGTTAGGCTTTCAACTTTGAGAGATACTGATTGATTAGATGGATAAAGTAGACTCTTTGGGATGTCAGTGAGCTAATGAGAATAATTTCCAAAGATGCAAACTACATCACTTCCAAGAACTGGCAAATAACTTTGATAGTTTTTATCCCTATTTATTAACAAAGAAAAAATTGTTCTGGTAATCCACAAACTGCTTCCAAAACAAGATTTAGAACTTGATAATGAAAAGAAGGAACAGATATAAATAACATATGTGCCTTCTGTGATTTACCATCATTTGCAAGATAAAACCATGCCAGATAGCTTTTGTATTGCTTAAAGATCCTGTACTCATTGGTTGTAAAGTATGCATAAGATTAAAGTGGAGTGATTTCTTGATTCTGTCTTTATTTACACATATTTGGTTTGTTACATTTCTACAAGTCCCTCTGCTTTATTTTGATACCATTTTGGGAGTTAAAATACAAGATTTACCAGCCATTATACCTCTCTGCTTATTGGTAACAGTTAAAAACCAAAAAGATGTGAAAAAGATTAGAGCACCACTGATACACTGTTAAAAATTAACAGCAACAGGTGACTAAATTAAATTCAAAAAGTCTTCTAAAACATTTAATGCTGTTGATTGTGGCTGATTTGGGAGTGGGTTGGGAATACCAATAGCAGGAAGACATTCACACTCTTTGGAGAACATTGTTTTTCAAGATGGAAAACACCCAGTTAGAAACAAACATGAGCAGATGAATGTGTTTTGATATGTATAATCACTTAAATTCTGTCTAAAATCCATCAATTTAAGCCTTCAAGTTAAAAGTGTATTATTAGACATCGTTACCACTGCTACTTTCTTATTGTCTGCCGATAATTCTCTCTCTTATTTTGAAGCTCAGAATTGCTATAATGGCAAGTGCTGGTAGAAAAGCATAGAGTATTAAGAAATCGCTTGTGAACCGGGATAAGGCACCAGGAAAGTTTTTTTCAATGAACTGAACGCCTTGAGAGAAAACACACGCAGCGCTATTTGCAGTGGAACTGTTGGCTCCGCCTGTCGAGACAAGAAGTTCATTTCTTTAGTAGGTGAATCACTCAAAACTCAGGCTTCAGCATCTAGTTTATACATTTAATATGCCTAGCCCTAAAGTTATTTTAACGATGAACTACACCCACAGCAGTACTTCCCATCATTTTTGGAATAAGAACAGACAAGCCGTATGTTTCTGCAGTTAATCTATGCCACATTTTTTGAAGAGAAGAATAAAGGGTCATGCCACACAAAAGAAGATTTATGGCTTTTCAGCCACAGAATCTGGAGGGGCCTCAAGGAGCAAGTTGCCCAATGTGTTCCAGTGTTCCTATTTTTTGAGTGTCTCCAAAATTCAAGAAATGGAGACTGTCTGAAGGGCGCGTTAAAAATCAGCTGTTTATAATTACTGCCAAAGTCATGGATTCATTTCCTAACATTTGCCATCTATGCTCTTGTAATAAAGAGGAACAGGAGAGATTAATGGATAAAGAATATATAGCCTTGGAGAGGAGCACAGACACCTGGCTACAAAGCCCAAATTATCTTAGGGTAGGTCCAAAGCTGTAAGTTTTACCCTTGTTGATGTAAGTTGGCTACTGACCCTGCCAACCTGACCGATCCTCATGTTCTGCCAGTTCCCTGGCTCAGAGCCTGACAGATCCAGGCTGCTCCGTGTGTGCCCTGGTGACATCCTGGAGCTGAAGCCTCACTAGTATGAGAGGAAACATCTGGTCAGGTGTTACCTCTCAGGGCTCCCTGCACTCAGGTTTGACCTCACATTGTGCAATTCAATTGATCTTCTATTTGTGTAATACTGCTCCAATAACCATATGACAGGCTGCAAAGTTTACCTTCCAGAATGCCCCCAGAGGGGGGATAAAAGAATAGGTGAAGAAGAGAAAGATAAAAAGCTGAAAGAATGAGAAATGGTTGAAAAAAAGGAGTACAAATTTTGTCTAGCTTCGCAATATGATGTTAGAATCATAGAATAATAAATAATATAGAATAAAATAATAATATATAAATATAAAAATAATAAGTCTTTACTAATGAATAAGCTTTTTTTTAACAACTCACAAGATACTTCTATTGTATGTAGAAGGAAAATAAGCATCAGCATCTCATTAAAATTATTTACAGTGGACCTAAAGGCTTTTTCTTTTTTTTTTGAAACACTTACCACATGTGAAGTTTAAGCCATGGAATTCATTGACTATTAGAACCTCACTGCTGTATTTTTGAAAGGTAAGATAACTGAGAATTTTAAATGGTGTCGGCATTTCCTCGATGGTCCTTAAAGAAACAGAGAAGTTAAATTAGCTTTTGCTACATTCCAAGAGCCAATCCTAGCCCAAATTAAAACAAGTTCTCATCTTTGGTCATAGCCTGTTACAGAACAGTTCTTGGCTGCACCTGTAGGGTGTTCAAATACAAAGTCCATTTTGGTGCTAAATGAGGAGACACCCACGAAGGCTGTCTTTGACCTTGGAACAGTCATAACATTCAGCCCTGACTTGTTCATGGACAGTCACAAATAATTAGATGAAGCAGTTTGCTATACACATGGCAGCCATAAAACTGAACAAGATCCAATATAAACCTTAATTGCAAAAATTTGTTGCTTCCAAAGAAAACCTCACCCAGCCACCCACCCACCCCCCAACCTCCATCTTCAAAACCAAAAAAGACTGTATCAATTCACTGGAACAACAACAACAATACAAAATGAAAACAATGAATAATAAGAAGACAAATAGAGTATGAAAATTTAAAAAAGCATTATTAAACAAGACCAGGCAATTTCTGCACCTAAAATACTGCAAGACTTCATAATTAAACAAATGAACAGGAAAAAAACAGCAATATTTTTAATATCCTTCATTGCCTATGAAATTTAATCAACAAGGTGATTCCCAATATTAATTAGCAATGTCTCTACTGTAAAATAAGGTTACAGACCATTCTAAATACTTTTTAAAAGTTATCATGAAGGCATTAGACTATGGTAGCAGGAATAACTGTCTTGTGACTATAAACACATATTTTCCTGAGATTAGGTAGGGACCACATTAATTAGATACGAATTTAGCTTTATTTGATAAGCTAAACTGGAGAATAAGAAGGTAGTTAAGAACAAGATTCTTTTAAACCCTCATTCCCAGTGTTTAATTTCTGGTAAGTTCCAGCAGTTAACTAAAGTTGTAGGAATTCTACATGATGCTCTTTTACAGCCAGATTATTGTAACATTAACACTGTAACAAAATAAAGCTTTTTCCTACCTTACTAGTCCAGTTCCCACTATCACACCTGCTGAATTTAGTAGCACCACTCCACTTTGGACTATATTTGGGTTTTGAACCACGCCAAGTATAACGAGTGTTAGTAGTTCACCAATTATATGAGACGCTAAGACAACAGCAAAGAAAATCCCAAATCTGGAAGCATCAGGATACAACCCTACAGTCCTGTATGAAAATGAGCAAAAGAACATTTATAAACCAGTGTTTGGGTACTAATCTTGGAAATTAGCTTTCAATTTTGTTTTTCTTTACTTTTTACAAATTGCAAATCATGAAGTGAACAGTTTATGTCTTGACCCTTAGTATGTTGTTTGGAGCCTTAACATAAAGGACAACCACTTAATATTGTGACTTAAGTGCGGATATATTTGGTTTTATCCATCTGGATTAAAGAGAGTTGTGTAAAGATGTAGTTGTGGCAGAAATCTGCATTGTTTCAAGATAACCACCGTGGCTTTTAGAATCCCTTAAACTAACATCCTCCTCCTTTGAGAGTCTATGCAGTGGGAGTTATTTATGTAAGTCACATATTTAAATAACGTCTTTATGGAGATAATTAACAAATGGAATTTTGCACTTCTTGTACCACACATGCAAATGTAAAAATGAATATAATCAATTAAATGGAAGGCTAATCAAATCCACCACCCATGTAATTCATCCAAGTGCAATTTCCTCTATAGTCCTGAACTCTTTAATACCACACCCTCTTTCCAGCTTTTCCTGAGCTCACCTAAGGATCAGTCATTCCCCCCAACCTGTACTAAACATTAACAAGTTAAGAAAGGCCATCAATTGCTTGGCAAACTTAATTCAGCCTTATAGTGTACATGACAGGTGACAAAACCTTTTATTACATGGTGACATATTACTTTTTTCCAAAATGCTTCATACCAAAATTGCCTCGCAACTGGGTACACACTGCATGCTATGCTTAGCTAACAATTTTATTTCCTTTTTCATTGCTCGATGCAAGGCCCTATGTCTTTCTTCTAATCCACCATGTTTGAACATGGTCTTAAAATAGAAGTATTAATTTTCTTTCAGGTTTCCTGTAGCATTTTTTGCACGTAATACCAAAATAATCTCTATTATACAGAGATGGCTGAACATTGACTCTTCAAGTATTAAACATTCAACAAGCTAGCAGCTACTTAACAACTGTTAATCACAGTCTGGTGCAGAAGGAACAGCTCTCCAAAGTCCTAGCATAAAAATATCACCTTCTGGGAAGTGCTCTAATACTTTACACAGAGGTATGTAGATACAGACTACTACTACTGTACTAAATCTGGGGTAGGAATAGAAAGAGAAGAAAGAAAAAAAAAAAAAAAACTCAGAAGAGAGAATATTGCAACAATAGAATGGTAGGATAATATAAACTGTTAGAACAACTCCCAGGGATATCATTAGTTAGGAAAATTTGCATAAACAGAGTATATTTACTTGATTGCAAAAGGGGCTGTATTTGTTCTTGGCCAGAGCTGCCTTGTTTCTGAACAGGTAAGAGTTTGTGTCTGTCTGACCAAAACTGTCTGACTTTACAAACACAAACTCTGAGTGAAATGGCTTGTAAGAAATCATACCAGAGGCTATCAAAGCCTCTCCAAAAGTTAGTCCATCCAGAAAAGTTTAGTCCTGCACAGATACAATCTTCAAAATTTCAAAGAGAAACTGCTTGCCCTGAGAGGTCTAAGGGCACTTTGAAATCACTGACGGCTTCCAACCAACCACAAGATAGCAAAGATATGCAGAGGTGAATATCTGTAAATATTACCTATTAACCTGAACGCACTCTTTATTGTTGATTGTGTTTGAAGCTACCAAAGCACAAGGGCAAAGTCTCTGCCCAGACAAATTTCCTGTTCATTAAGGAGCGACAGATAGTGGCTAATTATCTTCAAGAGCTCCACAAACCTTCCCTTATTGAGCCTGAAAATCTGCTTTTCAGATGGCTGCCTTCTCAGCAAGCGGCTCACCAGCAGGCAGGAAGGGAGGGGCTCTGGTGAGCACAGTGCATCCTCCAAATGCTTTGTGGGAGGAGGAGTAATTT